AATCAAGCAAGTGGAAGCTAATGCCTTAACGAGACATCAAGAAATAACAAAACAAATTTAAAGGAATGAAAAAATAGAAGAAGATGTGAAATATCTCATTGGAAAAAAAACTGACCTAGAAAATAGATCCAGGAGAGATAATTTAAGAATTATTGGACCACCTGAAAGTCATGATCAAAGAAAAAGGCTAGACATCATATTTCAAGAAATTATTGAAGAAAGCTGCCCTCATATGCTAGAACCAGAGGGTAAAATAGAAATTGAAAGAATCCACTGATCACTAAGAGACCTCAAAATGAAAACTCCCAGGAATATTATAGCCAAATTCCAGAGCTCCCAGGTCAAATATTGTAAGCAGCTAGAAAGAAACAATTTAAGTGTCATGGAGCCACAGATAGGATTCCACAAGTTTCATGACTCCTTTTGGGGTTTTCTTAGTAAAGATACTGCAGTGGTTTTCCATTTCCTTCCCTAGGTCATTTTACAGATGAGGAAAATGAGACAAACAAGGTTAATTGACTTGCCCAGCGTCACAGAGCTAGTAAATATCTGAGACCGATTTGAACCCAGGTCTTCCTGACTCCAGGCCTAGCACTCTAGCTACTGTGCCACCTAGCTGCTCCCAAAATGTGACTTACTTGGTTCTTAAGGAGAGGAGGTTCTTTAGTGAAGCTTCTGAAGGAACCTATGAGGACAAAGAGTCAGTCACAGAAAAGTATCTAAGTGCTACTTTCCCTTCCTCTTACACTCCATTTGCAAGTGTTGGAGAAGACCAACAATACATTCTGAGGGTGACATTCTGTGTTAAAGCCCCAGGATATCTCCAGGTTCCTCCTAAGTGGAAAGAAGAGTTATCTGCTTACTTTATCACATGGAGAGGAAGTACAAAGAGTATTGGACTTGTGATTAAAGGACCTGTGTTTGAGACTTCGTTCTTTTGCTTGCTAGGTGTGAGATTGTGGGAGGAATCACTTAGTCTTCCTGAGTCTCAGATTCCTGTATGACATGAGTGTAATGGTCCTTATATCACCTACCTGTCAAGGGAAAGTGCCTTGGAAAGAATATATATATTCTTAAAAATTCATGGACCTTAGGTTAAGAACCCTACTCTAGGACATGGCTGTATTTGGCTATAAGTATCTGAAAGGAAGTGGTAAGGGGAGAAGGAGTTCCATAAATGATATTTAATGTAACCTAGTTCACAATTCTTTCTTACCATACCATGGTTCAATACATCAAGATTTTACCTTTCTCTGCACAGCAGGTAGCCTAACCACTAGATGTCACTGTGAAAATGAGGTCTCTGCTCACCTCCCCACTCTTTCCAACCAGAAAAGATTGGAGCCAAAAGCTCTCCATCTCTACCTCCAGTTGCTCCAGAGGAAAAACAAACAAGCAAAAAACAAAAACAAAAATAAAAAAGGCCAAAAAAAACAAAACCACCAAAACTCTCAGGGTTCCCAGATATTGTACAGAGGAGGCATAATGAACTATATTTCTCAGAGGACTATATGATTAGTCCCTCACAGCTTGCCCAGGGAACCCTATATAATGGTAATTTATGTAACATAGCTAACAATTTCTCCTTTATTATACCATGGTTTCAAAAACACTTGAATTTTGCTTTCACAATGTGGTGTCTACATTTATGTGAGCAAACAAAGGCTTATGTCCTACATTTGGACTTATCCCTGGGTTCTTGATTTCATTGCAAATGAAGCACTCAGTCCTTGGTAAAAGGTATCTTCTTTGTAATGAGCATGAATTCTGACCCATGTTTCTGGAAAACATTGAAATTTATTTTATTTGGTGAAGGACACAAGAAAGGTACAAGAAAGTTGACTTTTTAGAGAAAAAAAAATTCCACACAAACCCTGAAAGTTACTTTCAGCATCATTGATGTTCTAAAAATCACCTCAGTTTGAACTAAAGGCCAGAATATAGATAACTGCAATTAAAAAAAACTCATGAATTTAGAATTTTTCATTACTTGGACAAGGGACTCATGAGAGGTACCATTTATGAAGAAAGGGTTTGAGGCATAAAATGAACAATAAATGTTTTCTGGAAGAATTACAATTAAAGCAATAATGTTAGTCTTTAAAATTACTTAAAAGAATCTGCTTTTCTGGCACCTTAAAGTGCTTAAAAATCTTTTTCTTTAGAAATAATTAATTTTTCTAATTATAAACCCTTTTCCCAAGGAACTCTGCCAATACCACATTATTTGAATTTCATTACTTGTGAGTCATAAAACATCATTTATTTTTAAAAGTATTCTATAGTCTGGACTTTTTCTAATTGATATGGGCCCTCCTTCAGTGCAGTTCCATTAAGGGAAGCAGCCATCACATTTCTCAGTCGAACACTAAGAATTCCAATGGATCAAGATGCCAAGAGCTAGGTTTAGTAACTTGTCAGGTCAGTGGTTCTGGTGAATCTCAGATTTGTTTTCTATTCTGTTTCCTGTTTTTCCACTTCCTCTTAAAAACACTTAAGAAGAGCACAAGTTTAGGGTCAAGGAAGATCCCTAAAGATAGCAGGGAGTCAGTATAATGGAACCAATCATCAATCATTATCTTTATCGTCACTAACAACGACAAACATTTATTAGGAGACTACTCACTATGCTATTCATGGGTGATACAAAATCAAAATGAAACTGTCCTTGCCCTCTAGGGGCTTACATTCTATTGAGGAGACAACATGTACCCAAATAAATCTGTATGAAATAAATACAAGTTAATTTTGGTGGGGAGGCACTAGCAGCTGAGGGCATCAGGCAAGGCTCTTGTAGAAGGTAGTACTTAAATGGAGTTTTGAAGAAAACCAAGGATTCTCAAAGGCAGTACTGAGAAGAAAGAGCATTCCAGGTGTGGGGGCAACTTTGGCAAAGAATTGATGATGAGAGATGTGTGAGGAATAGCAAGAAGGCTAGAATGGCTCAATTATAAAATGAAGGAGTAATGTACACTTAAAGGGAGTAAAATAAGGCAGGAATGGCATGTTGAAGCCAGGTTGCGATGGGCTTTAAATTCCATAAAGAGGAGTTTATCTTTGATTGTAGTGGTAAGAAGGAACCACTGAAGCATATTGAGCAGGGGAGTCACAGAGTCAAATCTGAGCTTTGGACATTTCATTTTGATAGCTGTGCGCAAAATGGATTGGAGAGGGGAGATACCATTGGCGGGGTCTGGTTAGGAGGCTACTGCAGTAGTCTGAGGTGGAATGGTGGCAAAAGACTTTTTAATCCCAATAAATGGGTCACTCACGTCCCCTCCAGATCCAACCAACCTGGTCACATTGTGAAGGAAAGACACAGAAAGGGGGCTTCCAAATAAGTTGGAAGTTGCCTTTCACATAGTGATAAATCTGTTTTATTCTAGTAGACTAGTGTGCATGCTATGTAACATTGGTTGGACCTTTATTGCTGGTTGACAGTCCTTTTACTCCGTACTGAATTTCCCATGAGTATTATTTCAAATTTTTTCTGATTCTCCTCATCATAGAGAATTTTAATCTCTTACTATCTGAGGGAAATGCCCTTTGAGAAATGCTAAGTCCAAAACTACCACCTATTCTCCCCTCTCTTTATAGTTAGCAGAAGACTTCATGTCTTTCTTTACTGAGAATTTGGGGGCTAGAGGAGGTTAGCACCCCCAATTTCCCTCCTCTATACTTCAAAACATCTCTATATCTTCGTACATGATCTCCTTTGCTCTTGTCTCAGCAGTGTTCAGGGGCCGTGGTAGTCATTGAGTTCTCATATGCCTAGAAGTTATTTTGATTTTAAAAAGCAAGGGACCACCTCAAAACAACATCTTCACTTTTTTTGTCAGTTACCTCCCCAGGAATCTGAAGAGTATAAGCATTTCTTCAGATATAAAGGGATTGAAACTTACTATTTTATAACAGACATTCACCCTATGGTTTGGCCAAGAAGTGATCAAGGGCTGCCTCTGCCCATTGGCATTGTCTTGCTTTAAATCACAATGGGTCTTGGAGATTGATTGAATTATAACTTGAAGGACAAAGACACATTTAACTTCTCTATGTCCTCTTTACAGAGATTTCCACCAAAGTTCTTATGACAAGCACAGATTCACTATATCATGAAAGAAGAGTTTAGAGAATTTTACCCATTAAAAAAATTCTCAACCTTTTTGTCTTTCATAGTCTCTTGGCTTAAAGGGAGCATAAAAATTCAAGGTCTGGAAGTCTTAAATGACTTACACAATTGGATTCTACAAAAAAAAAATTTTTTTTTAATCAGAGATGACTGACTGGTATATGGTATGTTTGACTCATGGGATGTCTTTTTGATCCCCAATACAGTAAAAGAGGGACAGAGTTTTGGGGGATAGATATGAATATGTGTTTGTGTACACAAAATTATGAAAGGGAGAGAGCTATAGAAAATATTTAACCTAAGACCATAAAAAAGGAACTTTACAAATGGAATGGCGAATAAAAAGAGTGGGTCACTAACTTTGTCCAATTTTTCTTTTATTTATCTGTTTAACCAAACAGGTAATGGACTTTGAGAATATTAATTTGCTAAAAAGTTCAATTCATGAATGCCCCTTTTCCCATGAAACAAAGAACTCCATGGTTACAGAATGCACCATTGGGTTATGACAACATTTCAAAATAATGTTTCCATTTCATATGTAACAATGTAAACTTCAAAAATAGTAAACTATAACCCCACCCCTTTTCCTCTTTACAGATCTATCACAGATAGAATTTTCTGGTAGACCTAAATTATATAAGTAAACAGCCTGTTGCTTAAAAGTTTCATAAAAAGGTTTACATTTTCAGTAAATCATTTTTAAAATATCTAACCATGAAGTCAAAGCAACCAGCAATTCACCTTCTCTTTAGTCTACCTTTAAATCATATTATATGTAACAAATTGTGTTCCTATATTTATATATATATATGTACATATATAACTGGTCATCAGTTTTGTGATTTTATATATTTATATGTGTATTTATAATAGAATTTGTTTTTAAAGATCCCTACATCTACATTTTAAGATGGTGCTGGTGACTTACAATGTCACGTCGCTGCACAAAGGTAAAGATGAAAATTCTTTAGAAGGCACTGTAATTTCTCTTGCATGATCTTAAATGGACACATGCAGAAAGAGACCAGCTGGGGCTCTGATATCTTTCTTTCACAATTTCCCTCGTGCAGAGCCTTTCTCTCCTTAACTGACTTCTCTCTCCAGACCAGTCATAGCAGATCACCCAACACATTATCCTTTCTATTTTCTCTTCTCCATATCCTATATTGCATTCAAAATAAACCTTCAATTTTCTTTTGGTTCATTGAAACTCCATAAAATTAAGAGTAGAGCTCTAGTATAAAACAAAGTATGACTTAACTCTATCTTTAAAAAAAAGTCACAGTGTGTAATGTAATATATTCGGTTGCTAAGATTCAAAATGGCTGTCCCGGCTTGTCATGAAAACCAGTTGCCTTGGCTTGTTGCGAAAACCTGTCTCCTAAACAATCAATGCAAAGATAATCTTAATGTTACATTCATTTAAAAAGAGCTGAGGGGTTCTTGTTTTATTTTTCTTCTTTTCCTTTTTTCCTTCCATATGCAAGTGGTATTCTTAAGTGAAAGGTCTGATGTGAAAAAAGTGCAAGCAAATTGGACATGCCCATAAATACCGGGTGACTTACTGTAAGATACCAAAACTGTACACTTATGTACACCATGTTGGACATATGTGCCCTTTTGCGAGACAAGACCTTTGAACCTTGAATGAGATGTTTGTTACCGCTATTTCGTGAGTGAGTGACATTAACGCGCAAAGGATGGGTGGGTCCTTCTGTGTTTGCTCTGTAGTCCAGAGCCTATGTCTCCATTGCCTTCAGCTGTCTCCTCCTTCTTCCTCACTTTGAGGCGCATGAGTAGTTTGATCAACCAGACATCCCACTCTTCTGGTAATAGCAGTAGGAGAAAGCCTAGGCCGATGATAATGATGGCGATGACCCGAACTCCATTGAAGACAATTTGGCTTGTGTAGTGATCTACCACTGCATGAAACAGTGAACTATGGTTAGTTACTAAGTGATCCGAGAAACAAAGGCAGTACATGGAGTAGAGTAAGACATCCTTTTCCATTTAGTAGGGTGAAGGTGATGATGGTGGTAGAAGATTCCTATCTTTTTGACACTTCTAAGACTACATACTTCCTTTTACCTAATTCATGTTGATCAAAGATTCACTACAGCACACTAGAGCAGAAGTTTTCAAACTCCTCAGTCTCAGGACACCTTTATATTCAAAAAAATTATTTGTTTTTAAGGGCTATATCTATTGATATTTACCATCTTAGAAATTAAAACCGATACATTTAAAAATATTTATCAGTCCATTTAATACAATAACAAACCTAATGCATGCTAACATAAATAACATTTTTGTGAAAAACAAGTGTATTTTCTAAAACAAAAGAAATTAGTGAGAGGAGTTGTATGACTTTACATACTTTTTTACAAATCTCTTTAATGCCTGGCTTACTAGAAGATGGCTGGATACCTGCCTCTGTGTTCAATCTGTTGTAATATGTTGTAATATATTGAAGTGTATGAAGAAAATCCAGCTTCATACAACTATGTAGTTGGAAAAGGAAATAATATTTTAATAGGTAAATAATGCCTTAGTTTTAGTGTGAAAACAGTTTGGTTTCATGGGACCTCCCAAAGGGTCTTGGGGATCCCTTAGAAAGCCACCCTTGGAGAACCATTGCCCTAGAGGATTTTTTTCAGCATGTACCTTAGAGTGGATTAAGGCAACTTCTGCTAAACTCTGCTTAAAATAGTAAAATCTCTTTTGTCACAAGCCCTTACATTTATGTGTTCATAATTTTACTCACAAAAAATTATATCTGAATCTAAGCCTAAATAGTTATTTTTGTGGAAAAAAAGAAGCAAGGCCCAGGAAGTTTGGATTTAGTCAATTCAGCTATATTAAAACATTTTTTTAAGACTTGGAAGAGATTTTAAAAATTCCTCTAAAAATAAACAATACATGTTCATTTTTGGCCCTAGGGGCATTGGTTTACTCTAATGCCCTAAATATCATTATCGTCAGTTAACTTTATTGAGAGTCACAGGAAGCAAAGCCCATTGAAGGTTCACATTAAAGATGGGTAGTCCGAAGTGAGAAACAAGCTTTAACAGCCTATAAAATCCAAAATTCCTGTTTTCTTGACAAGCCAATAATCAAACCTTTACGATGCACAGTCCCTGACAGCCCCTCCCCCCTTAAACTAGTTGACAGTATTTATTATTCCACATAACATTAGAAATATATTATTCTAGTTGTGTGACCTTGGGCAAGTCACTTAACCTTTGTTTGACTTAGTTTCTTCATCTGTAAAATGGGGATAATAGCATCTACCTCTCAGAGATGTTGTGAGATCAAAGGAAATAATATTTGTAAAGCTCTTAGCATAGTACCTGGCATATTATAGCTGCTATATAAATGCTAGCTCTATTATTATTATCTTCCTATTTAACTTTCCTATTTTCTAGACTAAAATAAAAGCTCCTTGAGGACAGAGAGTGGGTAATATTTTATCTTTGTATTCCTAGGCCTTAGTACATAGTAGGTACTTAATAAATGTTTATCGAATTGAATAAAAGGTGGTGCAGTAAACAGAGCACTGGGCTGGAAGTCAGGAAGACCTAAGTTCAAATCCAGCCTCACACACTTCCTAGCTGTGTGACCTGAGGCAAGTCACTTAGCTTCTGTTTCCTTAGTTTCCTCACCTGTAAAATGGGGATAATAATAGTACCCAGTTCTCAGGGTTGTTGTATCAAATGAGATAATACTATAAATATATTATATTTTATATATTATAAATTATATTTTATTTTTATATATTATATATACCCTATGTATATTATAAATAATATAAATAAAACTTAGAGCAGTGCCTGGCAGGTAGTAAGCACTTCAGTCATTTTTTCAGTTGTGTCAGACTCTTTGTGACCCTATTTGGGGTTTTCTTGGCAACAGTACTGGAGTGGTTGACCATCTCATTTTACATATGAGGAAACTGAGGCAAACAGGGTTAAGTGACTTGCTTAGGGTCACATAACTATTAAGTGTCTGAGGCCAGATTTGACCTAAGGAAGATGATTCTTCCTGACTCCAGGCCAAGCGCTCTATCTACTGTGCCGTCTAGCTGCCCCTATAGCGAGTACTATGTTATTTATTATTATTACTTCATAATCTTCATACTTGATCAACTCTTATTAACTCCCTACCAAATGTTCCCCCATTAGTATTGTGAACATTTTCCTCTTTGTATAAACCTTTAACCTTTGCCTATTTCCTGCAACTCTCACCTATTTTATTTTTAAAATATGACTTTTGAAGCCATAGTTGGTAAGCTTCCTCAATTCCACTCCTATACACTTAAATACCTCTTGGTATCTTGACCCCCTTCTCTTGTTTTGTACTGTTTCAGAGGATGACTCCATGCTACTGTCTCCTCTAGGATTTTTCCCATAATTCCAGCCAAAATGGCTTACTTGATGTTTCCTATCTACAACATTAACAGTCCCTCATGCCTGGAATTTTCTTCTTCATCACCTCTTCCTCTTGGAATTCTTAACTTCCTTCACTCATGCCATTTTCTATAATAGCCTTTCTTGGTTCCTTCATATCTTAAAGGCTTTCCCTCACAATTACTTTACATTACGTATTTTTAACTTATCTACATATTTGTAATTTTCTCCCAGTAGAATATAAGTTCATTGAAGGCAGGGGCTGTTTCATTTTGGTCTTTGTATCCTCAGTGCCTAGCACAGTGCTTGATACACAGGAGATAATTATTTAAGGCTTGTTGGATTGAATGGACTGGCTTCAGTATAGCATCTGTTCTATTTTTTTTTGTTCAATCTTCATTCTCTCCTTCACTTGTTCCTTTCTTTCTGTCAACAAAAATAATCAGGTCTTCCCTATCCTAAAAACAATTACACAGACATAAAGGTACACAAATTCTAAAACCGATCTTCCCTTGAACTTGATATCTTATTGAATGGCCATTTTCTTTCTTTCTTCTAATTTGTATAAAGGCTGGAATACACTTAATTCTTCTACTTCCTTACCACCTACTTACTCCTGGATCCCTTTTTATCTAGTATCTTTTCTCATAATTCTACCAAAACCATGCCTCTCCACCCCAAGTACACTGAAGATATTCTATTGCCAAAACACCTGCCTTTTGTCAGTCTGGATCCTCTCATAGCCCTCTGCAGTATCTGACACTGTTGACCTTCCATTTCCTTCTCAATATCCCTTCCTTTCTTGTCCCTGACACTGTATTCTCCTAAATTTCCTCCTATACCTTTTCTCCCTCTCTATCTTAATCCTCTTCAGATTGTACTCCTGAGTCTCTGGACTTGCTCTACCATGCCCCAGAAGCTTCCGTACCCTGGAAGCCTCACTTCACTCTTGGATTTCTCGTATTAAAAGTGCCTTGTCCCTCCTGTGACCTCTCCCTCTAATTGGTTGGTTCAGAACCTCTATTTTAAGGAGGACTCCCAGGCCATCGATGTCTTCATTTCTCTCCAGGTTACATTTCCCACTCCCTAGAATTTCTCAACCATAATCCTATGATGGCTACCATCTTTCCCCCATCTCCCTCACCTTCATTTTCAGCTTCTTTTTATGTGTTGCCTTCCCCCATTAGAATGTAAGTTTCTTGAGGGTAGGGATTATTTCTCTGAGCTACATGTTCCTCATCATTCAGTTATGAACTAGATGATCTCAACATTACTTTCTATCCCTATATTCTCATTGGTATGATGAGAATCATCTCATCTCAGTAGAGAACCTTGTCTCCTACTTGCCTGAGAGAGTAGAGCTGATCCATCCTGAATTTTCTGTTCTCCCTTACTCCATGCTTTGAAATGTTTCTATGCCATTCCCATACTCCTCTACCTTTGCTATATGCTCTGAGGACAAAATAACCCTTCTCCTTCCTGAAACCAATCCACTTACTTATTCGCAAGATCCCAATCTCCTTTACTTCCTCTGGAGATGTGCCCCCTTTCTTTCTCTCATCCTCAAGCTCTCCTTATCCACTGGCTCTGTTCTCAGTGTTTATGAACATGTCCATATCTCTCTTAAAGGTGGAAAAAATGTTTCTTGACTTTGTCATATTTCCAAGTTATTTTCCTTTATATCTTCTTACCTTCACATCCAGATTCCTTGAAGGGTTTGCCTATGTTCATTTAATTCATTTCTTCATTTTCCACTTATCCGTTTCTTATAATCAGGCTTTTGAACCCACCGTTCAGCTCAGAGTGTTTTCTAAAGTTACTAATGATCTGTTAACTATTAAACCCCAAGGCCTTTACTCAGACCTCATTCTCCTTGACTTCTCTATAGTTTTTTTTTAAAACATTGACCATCACTTCTTCCTGGATATCTTATCCTTCCTTGCCTATAATGACACTGTTCTCCTACCTATTTGACTTCTTTCCCATCAGCTGATGTGCTCCAAAACTGAACTCACTATATTTTCCTGCCTCCCACTCCATCCCAAACTATCTCTTCTCCAAACTCCACCCCCTCTTTTGTTGAGGGCAACATCATCCATCCCATCATTCAGGTTCTCAGCCTCGGTTATCTTCTCTCTCCTTCACTCTCTATATCTGTTGCTGTTGAGGTATTGGGGACCCTGAAATATGAGGGTACAGGGGGTCTACCTGGAAAGAACTTAATCACTCAAGCCTTCTTTCAGTCCAAGTAGCAACGTTTATTGTAATGCCAATAGTGGTGGTGTGGGGGGGGGTGATTCCTTGTGAATTTGGCCTTTATGGATGACTGATGATATGGGGATGGGGATGGCTGATATTTACATACAAAAAAAAAGAAACAGTGAGAAGATCTGGATGGAATTAAGAAGTGGTAAATCACCTGGGGTGGGACAGGTGTGACAGTGAAAGGAGTTAAGTGGTCTGGAGTGGGTCAAGAGCCACTCTGAAAGGACTGTTGAGTATCTGGGTGAGCTGGGCTGGGCCAGGTGCCTTGGCTGAGAGTCAGTGATCTAAGCTGCTGAAATGTGTGCGAAAATTCATGGACTGGGCTGCTTTCAAAGACATGGTATTTTCCTTTAGGGGTTCAGGTCCCATCACTCCATCATATACAGCCATTTGCTAAGTCTTGTCAATTCTTCCTCAATATTATCCCTTGTATCCATCTCTTTCCCTCTACAGACAATACTCTAGTTCAGGGCAATCATTTAAATTTTCTGAGTCTTAGATTATCCACCTGTAAAATAAGGATAATAATACCTGTATGACCCATTGCACAAGGTTGTTGGGAGGAAAATGCCTTATAAAACTTAAACTGTTACATAAATGGGAGCTATTAGTTAACATTCTGGAACTCCAGAGAGGTCAAGACCCCAGAACATTGTGGGAGGCATTTATGAAAAAGATCAATGTGAGAGGTTGAACACTGTACTGTGTAAGATAAAGTCTGGCAAAATACTGATTCCAAAGAGTTACTTTGAATGGAATTCCAGGCATGTTTTATGAGGCACTTGATGGGATAAGAACTTGCTAACCCCAGGGAGATTAATCCTCTAATGAGGCCTGGGAGCTGGAGAAATTCCAGGGCTGACTGAGAAGTTCCAGGTGCCTTGTCTGGGCAGAAAAAGGGCTTTCTATTGCTTGCAGGCAGGGAGGGTAAGTGCACCAAAGAAAATTAGGGACAAACTCATCCCCAAATCATTCTGATGCAAGTGCTGACGTGATCTGTCTCACTCTGTAAGCCCTTCTCTGCAGATCCTTAAAACTGGGAATAGGTAGGATAGCAGGTGATACAGAGAAGTGAGGCAAGGGAAAAACCTTCAAATTAGGTACAAACAAAGCAACTAGGGGAAAAGAAAATCTGTCTCAAAGGAGAACACAAATAATTGTTTGTATTTGAGTCAAGAGTCAGCATGGGAAAAGGCAGGGTTGCATAATGGATAGAGACGCCTGCTTCTGATACATAATATATAATGTCTATGTACCTTTAGGAAAAGCCACCTCACTTCTAAATGGCCCAGGCAAACATCTATGAGTATAAATTGCAGAGAAGGAACCAAAGGAAATTCCTCCTTGGTGTAGAAATCACAACTTCAGTCAAAAAAAAAGTCATTGTGAGATAGTGGACTTAAATTCAATAGAGACCTAGATTTATTTCCCAGCTGTGGTGTTTGCCTGTTGTGTGACCACTGGCAAGTTGTTTCTGATCTCTGAACCTCAGTTACCTCAAAATGGAGAGGCACTACCTACCTCACAGAATTGTTGTAAGAAACACATTGTAAACTATAAAGAAATCAGAAAATGGGAACTTCTATCTCCCAGCACAAGTGTTGGCAGGAAGGTTCATGTTGGACTGGTGGGGAATAAGGCTTTATATGTATTTATAGCAAATAGGCATGTAGATACATGTGCATGTGTCTATTTGTTTGAGAGACATAGACAGAGAAAAACATTTTTGTTAGAGCTATCTCCTTCCTGAATTTGCATTGTATATGTTTATATTTCTCTGTGTAAAGGTTGTCTTTCTCTGTCTCTGTTTCTCTCTCTCTCTCTCTCTCTCTCTCTGTCTCTCCCTTCCCCCATAGAATATAAGTTCTTTGAGGGTGGGAACTATTTCCATCTGTCTTTAGAGCCTCAGTGCCTAGCACATAGTAGGCAGTAACTAAATGTTTGTTAAATTAAATTAAATTGAAATGAATTGAAAATTGGAAGCTCCTTGAGGGAAGAGACTAGGTCTTATTTCAGCTTCATAGTCCCACTATCTAATACAGTGCCTGAAGAATAACCAATATTGTATTTAATAAATTTTTTTATTGTTTTTGATTTGAAGTACAGTTAGAAATGGAAGAGGATTTTTAAAAAAAATACTTCAGTTTGTTAATTATGTTTCTCTACCATATGTATATACCATATTGGAATAGCCCCTTCTTTTCTCTTACTCTTCTACTCCTCCCCCACCCAAAGAGCATCAATCCACCTAGAGAACTCATAAAAATAGTAACGGCATTTCCTCTAGCTTTGTAAAGAAAGGTTTGAGCTTAGATTCCATTTATTATTAGCTATGTAATCTTAGGCAAATCATGAACCTCTGAGACTTAGTTTTTCTTTTTTAATATAAGAAAAAGAATATTTTTCCTGCTTACCTGAAGAATCAGGGGGAAGGGGAAAAGGGAAGAAAATAAGCATTTATTAAGCAGCTTTTGGCGGCTAAGTTCCTGAGTGTGGCCTCACACTTATTGGCTGTGTGACTTTGGGCAAGTCACTTAACCCTGCTTACCTCAGTTTCCTCAGCTATAAAATGAGCTGGAGAAGGAAATGATGAACTAGTCTAATATCTCTGCCAAGAAAACCCCAAATGGCATCATGAAGAGTCAGACATGACTGAAACACTGAACAACAGCAAAGCACCTTCTATGTGTCAGGCACTGTGCTAAGTGTTTACAATTATTATCTCATTTAATCCTCACAACAGTCTTGCAAGGCAGGTGCTATTATTATCCCTATTTTGCTGGAAGAAACTGAGGCAGACAAAGGTTAAGTGATTTGCCCAGGGTCACATAGCTAGTAAGTGTCTAAGGCCAGATTTAAACTCAAATCTTCCTGACTCAAGGTCCAGAACTCCAGACACTGTGCCAACTAACTCCAACAGTAGAATATAAGCTTCTTCAGGGCAGAGATTGTGTCACATTTTATCTTTGAACCTAGCACATAGTAGGTGCTTAATAATTTTTATTCAATGGAACTTAAATTCAAGTTCAACTTCTAGTTTAAAGAATAGCAGATATTTCAGACTTAAAGTAAAAGTTTTGTATTTTAGAAAGGTGCATGGCTTTAACTGTTGATTTACATAGCATAAATCATAGTTATTAGAAAACTCTTTAAAAAAGTTTTCCAGTTGCCAACTGCCCTTCATTCCTACTTTGGGAAATTAGGCAAAACAAATGGGAGAAGTAAAAATTATTCAATTCTGATTAAAGGATTAAGTGTGTAACAAATATAGATTTAACAAAAACTCCAAATATCCTTTCTCTTCAATGGACAAAAGATGCAATCTATTACTAAATATATTAGGATTTTTTTAAAATGAAGAGATATATAGAAAACTATGTAATCTTACCTGCATTCACAGGCACACTTAATACAACTCCAAGTGACATCAAAGTTGGATATGTAACAGCAATTCCAAAATTTAATACAATATTGAATGCTGTAATAAAGAACAGTAAGGCCATTCAGCTTCATAGATTGACAGCATTTGGACAACAATGATGACAAAACCATATTTTATTGATGCTTATATTAACCTTATTGGTAATAGTGGTGTGGGAGTTGGGGGGAAGGCTGGTCCTTTTTCTTCTGATCTATAGGATAAGGGTATAGAAAATCAGTTGTTTGGACCTCCATGGCTACAGTTGTGCTGTCTAGCTGCTACTGCTGTTGGTATTTTACTCCTGAATAAGTGACTGGATTTACTTATTGATGTCAAATAATAAAATTAGAGCCTTCCCTAGCAGGGATCTGTGCCATCCACTGCTGGGAGGTATAAAATTTAGGGCAAATCAAATGATATGCTCATTCTCTATTCCTTATAACCTTCTCTCCTCTCTTCCCTTCCCCCCAATTTCCATTTTTACATAGGTAAATTAGGTTAAATAATTAGGCTACAAATTGTAATCACCATTAAGGGTAATCCTGAAGGAGAAAATAAACCACACAAGGATGGTTTTAGGAATAGTTTAATCTACTTTGCAGCGATGTGGATTAGGGTGACTCAAGCCTTTTTATATTTTAGCACCAGCTGATGAAGCTACATCTTTCTCTTTCACTGTCTGAGTCATTACCAAGTCACCAATATTGTGGGGTCTCCCAAGGAGTGGTAGTTCCCTAAACTGGGGACCTAGGACAATTTTCTTAATTTTTTCATATCCTAGAAATGGTTCTGAATTACCTAATTGTTGGACATTAGTTCAAGATTCAGAGAAAGCAGCAAATATGAGCATTACTGTAGCGGCTATATTTTCTTTAGAGTTTCCTGTCTGCTTACAGCTGCTTGGCTATGGGAAGAGATCAGAGTTCAAGATTATCTAAGCAAGTGTTTTCTTTTGATCTACACAGTTTTCCTGAAACACTGTGGGAAATGTGAGAGTACCTATAAAGAGTATCTTTTTTCTTAATGAGGCTACAGTATCTAAAAAGGCTTTTATGTGTGGCATTGATATTATTTGTCATTGTTTTCAAGGGCTCCCAGTATGGCCATAGTCACTTACTCAATAAGAGAACTGAGAATCCACAAAGGTTTCCCCATGGAATGTCATCGAAAGAGTTCCAGTATTCCACTTTGGTGAAGTAAAGAATGATAGGAATACAGGTGATGAAAAGGATGTTGAATACACCCAATATGGACAAAAATAGGGCTGCTTCTCCAAATTTAGCACTGCCTAGGAGAAGTTTGAACAAAACCTGCAAGACAAAAACATGATGAGCAAAAGATGGTTGTTTTTCCCAAATTAGCATTTGTTTATGATGAGCAGAGTTCCTTTGTAAAGCTGGTGCAAGATGACAGGCTTAATACCCCTGGTAAAGGCTTATCATTATACTTGGCTTTTGTTATGACAGTATGTTTTAGAGGACATGATTTACCCATGGTATTTGAACTCATTTAGGTCTCTGAAGAGCTGCATCATAAGAGAGTTCTACTGCCAATGTCACCTCTGTCTACTGACCTCCCTGAATTCTTTTGAGACTCTGCTCAAATCCCACTTTCTTTAGGAGGTTTTCCTTAGTTTTCTCACTTGCTAGTGCCTTCTTGTTGAGATTACTATCCATCTACTCTGTATTTAATTTGAATGTATGTAGTTGTTTTCATATAGTTTCTCCCAGTAGAATCTGAACTCCTTGAAGGTAAAGGCCAGTTTTTGTATCTTTCTTTGTATCCTCAACTCTTAGAAAAGTGCTTGGCATGTAGTAAGTGCTTCATGAATGCTTCTTCATGGACTTTATGTATGTATTTGTGTATCATAGCTCCTAAAAACAAATGGTTTTCAGTGTCTGAAATTGTGGGAGAAAGGTCCTTCTCAGTTATTTTTTCATGGTTTAGTGATCCAACTTTGAGAATGCCAAGAGACGATAGAATTGACACAGATGAAACAAATAAATGTGTCATATCTCCCTCATTTCAAGGGATCCCCTTATAGACAGACCACAGCTTGAAAATAAGTGTTATGGCTGTAAAGTCCTTTGACTAGAAAGCACAAAGTGATGTTATTCATTTTTAGAAAATAGCTTTGAGAGCTCATCTTCCCTGCCCCCCACCCCAACTGAACATCTGTAACATTTTGAAGAAAGGCATAGTGATCTAATCTCTTATAATTGTTCATTTTCCTGTCTCCCCCTTCCGCCATCATTTAGGTTACTGGCAGGTCAGCACATTGGTACTATCTAGTCTTGAACATTCTAGAACAGTTTGAGTGCTTATTTTGGCGGGGAGGAGTTCTTACTTCTTTCTTCTCATCCTGTTGCCCTCTCCTTTCAGGCCATTCCATTGCTCCTTTATGTCTCCTGTGTGCAGGGAAGAGACAGGAATGAAAGTGACATTCACACATTTGAATTTTGCCTCCTCTTGGATTCAGGTCAAAGAAATGGTCAGAGAGAAGGCAGACACTGGAGATTAAAGCCAAATTTGTAGCCTTATTATGGATTCCATTTCTCAGTGTGTTTGTGATTTTTACTAACACATAGAGACAACTGAGTGTAGTTTATCAACAGAGCCTTTCTGTTTTTTCTTCATCTTGCCAGTGATTCTGAAGCAGCTGTATAAATTTTGGAAAATTCTGAGGGGTGTGTGTGTGTGTGTGTGTGTGTGTGTGTCTGTGTCTGTGTCTGTGTCTGTCTGTCAGTCTGTGTGTCTGTGTTGGGGGTGTGAGGGTTTGGAGATGGAGGTGAGAGAAAGAAAGGAATGAGATCCAGTCCCATTTTTCCAACTACCTGCTAGACATCTCCATCTGGATGTCTTGCTAGCACCTTAAACTCAGCATGTATAAAATTGAACTCATCATGAATGGATGAATTTAAAAGCATTTATTAATCACTTAGTATACCAATCAATCCTGTCCTGACATGCCCCTCCTGCCAACTTCTCTACCTCTGTTAATGGTCCCTCATTGCCCTCTGAGCCACTCAGTCTTGAAACCTAAGAATCATATTTAATCCTTCTTCCCTTCCTGCCCCCCATTCAATCATTTGCTAATTTCATTGACTCTCTTTTCAGTTTTTCTCATATTCATCTCCTCCTCTCTTCACATATAGAATTACAACTCTAGTTTAGATTCTCATCACTTTTTGCTGGAACTAGTATAGTAACTTCTTAACAGTCCACTTGACAAGGGTTTACCCCCTTTCTAGTCTACCCTTCACACTACTGACAAAATGTAATTTTTAATACATAGGTCTAATGTTGTCACTCCTCTGCTCAAATAGCATCAATGTCTCCCTGTTCCTCAGAGATTAAAATGCAAAATTTCTTAACTCTCCCCAATTTGGCTCTACCTTTCCAGGCCTATTTCACATTATTTCCCCTCACATGCTCTACATTCCAGCCCAGTTGGACTATTATTCTCTAATTTTGCCCTGCACATTCTCACTTCTATACATTTGCCCTAGAACACACTCTTTTCTCATCTCCACTTCAGTCTCAGACTAAAAAAAAGGCTCTCTTCGCCAAGGCAGACTTGTCTACTTGTGCCCAGGATCCAATCGTTTCCTGTCTTCTCTAGGAGTTCATCCCATTTATCATTCCTTTTTTCTTTCCCATATTCAAGCTTTCTTTATTGTTTATGTATTCCTTCATGCTGCCTAAAAACATGATCAGTTATATCCTTTCCTTAAAAAAACCTATTTCCCTAAACTTTCATTCTATGTTTGTTCTTCCTTTTTATTGCCCGACTCCTAGAAGGAACCATCTATGTTCACTCATTTGACTTCCTCAAAACCCACTTGCTTCATGTTGTTGCTGTTCAGTTGTTTCAGTCGTGTCCAACTCTTTATGACTATTTTGTCTTTGCCATTGTACTCCTATCACTCAGCACAGTGCCTCATATGTGGCAAGAACTTAAATAATGTTCTTTGAATCACATGTCTTTTGAATTGAAATCCTCTATTTCTTGCAAGGTCTAGATCAGTCAGTCAACAAACATTTATGGGCATGGTACTATGCTAAGCCCTGGGGATACAGCGAAGGGCAAGTACTCAGTCCTCATACTTAAGGAGCTCACATTCTAGTGGGGAAGACAGCAAGCAAACATAATCATGTATATTAAAGATACATAAAGAGTAGATGCAAAGTAATCTCAGAGGAAAGTTACTGGGGAGAGGGGGGGCACTGGGAAAAACCTCCTGCCAAGGGTAGGATTTATAGCTGTCTTGAAGAAAGCCAGGGAAGTCAATGGGACAAGGTGAGAACACCTCTGTGATTCCTTCTCTAATTGCTATCCCTTCCCTATCTCAGGTAAAAGGAATATCTCCTTTCTCACACAGAATACCTTGCATCTCTTTTGCTCTTATAATATCCTGCTTTACATTATTTTTTTTTGCAAACTCCAACAGACTATAAATAGACTATGTATTGTCCTTCCTTTAAAGCAGGGACAATACAACTTTTTTTTTAATCTTTAGTCCCTAACCTATCCCCTTGCACATAAAATATGTAGTTAATAAATAGTTATTAAACTTAAATTAAGTTGCCTTTACAATTGATAAGACAAGTTAGTTGTAGATCTGACATTTAAATTCAGTTTTCTGTTCTCCCTATGAAAGATGAACTGTTTTAATACACCAAGGGTCAATAAATCTTAATTCTAAAGTCAATTTACTCCAGCCCTTCACTGGACCCTTCACTGGGCTGTAGGCAATAAGCCTTTGCCACGAGAATGAGGTAGAGCTGGGATTAAGATTTATAATATGTACAGAATACCAGTGGTAACACGTGTCACATAATGAAGAATTTAAACAACATTGCACCACTCATTTTTACTAGGGTTAGAATGGAAAAATCCAGTGTAATCACACACTGAGCTCAGTGTTGATCATACACTTCAGTTTCTGTGTCTTCTTTCAACTCCTTAACAAAACATTGGGCAAGCTAATCTGACTCAGCTACTTCTGGGTCCCAATCATTTTGTCCTTTGCTGCACTCAAAAGGCTTCATTTGAAAACAAAAATTGAGAGGAAAAGCAAACAGTAGCCATGTACCCTGGTGCTGTCCATGGTGAGAGCATAGCTTTCCATGGGATGCGTGGGCAATTCTAGTGCTCGTCATCTAGGACCATCAAAAGCAAGGTCATATTCCTTTGTGGTCTGCTTTCAAGAGGAGTAGATGCCCTGTAAGATTCCTTCCACCAGTAAGATCCAGGAAGGGTAAAAGTTGAGGTAAAAGTAAGGCCTTCTCTTTATCATCTAGGCCACAAAACCTGCTGGGATAAATCCCAGAGACTATTCTTTGCATGCATTTACCTTATAAAGAGCAGACATTGAAGCTGATCCCACCACCAATGCTATGCCTATCACGGAGTGGTTGTGGAATCCATCTGCATAAGTCATCATCACGATCCCAGCGATTGCAAGGATGGCCGCCACAATCTAGATGGGAAAAAGCAAACTAATGGTCAGAGAGGTACTGTAGAATCACATGGGTCAATTCAGGATTGACAATGGTAGCAGTGAATGTGCATGTTGTAGTGAAAGGGCACCAAAATAGGGAGTCAGGAGTTGTGAGTTCTAGTCCTCATCCTGCCAATTACTAGCCATGCAACCTTGGACAGATTACCTAACATCTCTGAGCCTCAATTTCTTCACCTGTAAAATGGGGATAATGATATTTGTATTATTTACTTTATCAGGTTATTGTGAAGATCAAGTGAAATGATAGATATTAAAGAACTTGGAAAATTAAAACAATGTACAAATGAAATGTATTATTGTTGCTGTTATTGTTATTATTCTTTAAACAGTAAGGGGGAAATTTCAACTTCAATTCTAGATGTATTATGTGGAGAAAATTCACTTCCTTGATTATCAGAACAAAAACCAGGCTTCAATGAGTGTTTAATATTCAAGAGAAACCAAAGATCTGTCTTTCACAGTGCTTTCATTTTAAGAATGGAGCAGGAGGTATGTGTTACTGACAGATAACTTATAGGTTATTTTGTCATGATAAAATCTGCACTGTAATTGTAGCATTTTGCAATTACCTCACACCTTTATCCTAAAGAGCTTAACATACCTGAGGGGACCTAATTTATCCTCTTCATATTTCAGGGATGAGATGAAGAAGGATGAGGGATATGTATGATTTCCATTTTATGCCATTTTATGGCACAGAGCACAGGGTTGCTTTGTTGTTCTAACCAATCAGTGGTGTATCCAGGCCTATGGCTCTGGATCCAGTGCTTTCTGTTTTCCCCTTTTATTATTATGTGATTTATAGGCTTCCCAGAATAAAAGTGATATTCCATGGAGAAGAAAGTCATCTTGTTAAAACCCAAGAAGAAAGTGAACCAGTTAATAAGAATTTTTCCCTGCCTCCTGGCAGAAGATGGCCAAAGCTTATAATGATAAAGCAAATAATTATGGAGAATAGTCTGTGGGTATGTATATGCAGAACTATGCAAATCCAATCTAGTCAATATGGTACCCAGGATGTATTTAATAGATATGAGATCTTTTTTTGGTGTTTGGATTTTCTAATAGTTTTCCCCTTTTATAGATTTTGATCCAAGCTGTTTTTGGCTAATATAGTTGGGTAAACATTGTGAAAGAATTAGAACTGAATAATTCTATTGTCAACTATAATCATTTGTTTAAACTGAACTCTAGAGTGTTATTGAACTTTAGATGTCATTCATCTTTGCCAGAATTTGTGAATTACACATTTTTTTCCAAAAGGAGGTCAAAGTCACTCAATATTTTCACGTTATCATAGTTTCCATGAAAATACAGGGCCTTAAGTCTGCAAATGGTTTCTAATTAATGACCATTCTAATTAATGACTATTCTAATTGTCATTCCTGGTTTAGCAATTCTTTCTTTAGTTAGGGAGCTTTACATATATTGCAGATTCAAAGGTTAATTCTATTCTATTTCAATATGCCTATATGTATTTAATTTATCTAAAATCTAGATATGTATCATCTATGTATGTATCTATGTATGTGTCTATCATCTATATATCTATGTATCTATCTATTCATCTATTCAACCATCCATCTACTCATCTATTCATCCATCCACACAGAGAGAAACAGAGTCAATATAGCAGCAATATAGGCAAATAGCATGTATGCTTAACAGGTGCTGAGTTTTGCAAATGGTTAGTGAGCAGACCAGAGCAGAAGATGTCTTGCTGTCTGTCGACTCCTTCCCTAGAGAATACAAAATACTGCTCAGGATTCATTGATCAGGTTAGGAATCAGTGGCAAAAACACTGGAAAGGCCATACTGAAAATAATAATAATAAAAATAATAATAAAAGAAAATTGAAAATGCCCCAGGTTTCAGATAGTTTGGTTTATCTCAAATATTTTTCCGGCTCTTTACAAACTTGTCAGAAGTTAGAATAAATGAGACGATTCCATTGTATGAGTGCTCCATTTAAAGGTAGTTGAGATGATTGAGGGCTGTGGAGGGTATTGAGTCTATACTTTACTAGAACCAATGTCCTTCTCCAATACCTCATCATGGACCTACGTTCTTGAGGCTCTGTACATGGAACACGAAGTCCTTCAGTTCTTCCCAAGCTAGAAAGACTGCAAGTTTGGCCCAGTAATTTACTGTGTTTGTCATCTCAGGACCAGCCTATGTAAGTTCAGGAGGTTTATCACTAGGTTGGCCACAACAGGGAGATGAAATTTTTTCTAGCTATGGCAACTCAGAGAGAGCATCTCCTGAAGCCCAGAGAGAGAGGCTGCAATCTGTGTAAGTGGAGGTAATACACACACATTGGCAAAGTAGCAGATCCTTGAAGTATAGACTTTAGGCATAAAACCTTTCCAGGCAGATTTCCAGCAGTTGCCTCTCCTCATTTTTTAAATCAATTAAATATTAAAGTTTTAAAAGTCTATGACTGTGCTGGGTAGTGAGATGAGTGCTAGTGAAAGGTGTTGGATGGATTGCTCTGGAAGCTCTTGTCCTTTTGGTGGGCCAAGGAAAAGCAGCTCCATAAAACAGCTTTACAACCCTCTTAACTCAGGCCCCTTGGGTACAAGCTGGCAAGACATTCCTCCAGGAGGGAGATGGTAATTCACTCATTGGACATTTTAGGTTTTCCTACCAGTTGCAAAGGCCATCAACCATGGGCCAAACAGGCAATTGATTGGGACATATGCCATATGCTGAATATTCCATCTCCTCCTGTCCATACTTCAAGTTAGCCTGTTTGGAACATAGTGTCTCTCCAGGCAGCAATGTAGTGTTAACACATAAGTTTAATAATTCAACTCATTAACTGAAATGGAAACTTTGGGAGATAATGTAACCTAGCTCAATGGAACCCTCTCTTCTTCTTTCATTTCTTTTTCCTTTTTTTTAACGGTGCCTCCTCCCTCACCCCCACTTTAGCATTCCCCACCAATGTGGGCAAGATATCTATAAGCACAGCCTTCTAACTTTCAACCTTGCCTCCCCTCTCCTCCTCTCCCCACCACCCCAACTCCATTACCCTCATTGTACGTCACTGAACTATTCCGAAACAAGGTTTTTGGGAGATGTGGTGATTTAGCTAGCCAGCTCCACGCTTCCATGTAACAATGGTACCTAGATCAAGAGAGATGAGAGCTGTCATCTGCACTCTGCCTATGAAAGAATTAGCTTGCAACAGGAGGAAAGACCAAGGAGGGAGAGGCCAATCAGCAGTCAGGGAAAGTTGTTAATCCTTTCCTATTATCTCACCTAATAGCAGTAACTTGCTGTTTGACTGGCAAAACCTTCAAGCTCTCAGCACTAGCTCTCTAAGATTCTAATCATGTGCTAATGTAAGAAAGCTCTCAAAGGGGTTTGAGGCTTTCAGAGGAAGCAGTCTGTCACAAAATTTAATTGTCCAAAGCACCTTAGTCTTGCTAAAAGAGTTTTGAGCCTGGAATCTGAATGAACCGGCTTTACAACTTAGTGATTATAGCAGATTGCTCAAAGCTGCTGAGGCTCAGTTTCCTCATCCATAAAATAAAATGGGGATAAATGTACTAGTGTGAAGTTGGTGGTACCATATGGCATAGAGTCCCAAGCCTAGAGACAGGAAGACTGATCATTCTGAGTTCAAATCTGGCCTTAGACAATAACTGGCTATGTGAGCCTGGGCGAGTCACTTAACCCCATTTGCCTCAGTTCCCTCATCTGTTAAAAAGCTGGAGAAGGAAATGGCAAACCACTCCAGTATCTTTGCCAGAAAACCCCAAATGGAATTTATCATAATATTGTCCATATTTAGCTTTAAATTTCTAACATTAGTTTGACATGACTGAAAAATGACTGAACAACAAATACTTGTACGACCTTCCTCATAGGATTGTTGTGTCAATAAAAGATCCTGTGTTGACATTACTTTGTAAAGTCTTTCAACAACTGAACTGTTATTAAATAGTGTTTTGGTCAGGGCTCTGAGGCTGCTTACCATTCATAGATCATAGGATCAAAGATGTTAGAACTGGAAGGAAACTTAAGAGGTATTCATCTAGTGGAATCTCCTCACTGTATGAATGACCCAACTGAGGCCCAGACTGGTTAAGTTACTTGTCCAAGTGCAAATGCGCACATTTTGTAAGCGAGAGCTGCCACTGGAATCCAGGTCCTCTGATGCTAAACCCATAGGATGGCTTGTGATTCTGATCTGCCTTTTACTAAATATTTAGACTCCTCTTTCAAGCCATGTGTGGAATTTATTTTATTTTAAAAATTTTTTTTAATGATACTAAGCTATTTTTTATAGGAAGGATGAGATCAATTTGCCTTTAAAATCCTACCCTATTTCTGAACTTTAGTTTCTTTCCCAAAAGATGTTTGAAATCATAGAATTAATATTTTTAGAGTCAAGTGTTGTATTGTAGTTGAAAGCGAACTGAATGTGGAGTAAGAAGTTCTGGGTTCCAGTTCTTGCTCTGCCATTAACTATCTTTGTGATGTTGAGTCAACCACTTAATTTCTTGGAGTCCCATTTTCCTCTTCTATAAAAGGAGAATAATAATACCTGTGCTTTGGTTGTTAAGTCATTTCAGCTATGTCTGAATCTTTGTGACCCAATTTTGGGGTTTTTCTTGGCAGAGATACTGGAGTGGTTTGCCATTTCCTTCTACAGCTTGTTTTACACATGAGGAAACTGAGGCAGACAGGGTTAAGTGACTTGCCCAGGGTCACATTGCTAGTAAGTATATGAGACCAGATTTGAACTCATGAAGATGAGTCTTCCTGATTCCGAGCTCAGTGCTCTATCCACTGTGCCACCTAGCTGCCCTAATACCTCAGCTATCTATCTTGAAAGATCCTTGTGAATCTAAGCTCGTTGAAGACAGGGGCCATTTTATTTTTGTCATTAGAGTTCCAGTGCCTAGCAAAGGGCCCTGAAAAGAGTAGGTTTTCAACAGAGGTTTATT